TTTTTTTTAAAACACAGCAAGCAGAAGTGCTCGAATGACTCACCTGATCTTGAAGCTGCACCTGGAACGTGATGTTGATGTTAAGAATGGGGGGTGGTATTTGCTCTTTTGAAACACATTTTTCAAGAGACAGTAAAGCAGTAAAACTGGGGACCTTCCCTGTTGTAGTTTTCATATTCCACAGAAATGAAAAAAGTTTGCTAATTTTAATTGAGTCACTTTGAATAATCTAGCTTATTGCTTTCTTATTTTGCATAAGGTTGAGATGATCCTTTCAGATATCTATTAAATGCTTTTATATTTGAATTCTGAGTCAAAGGTCTTTAAAAATGACAAAATCTTATAGGCCTTTTAGGAGAATTGAAACCAGACCTCCCAGAGCCAGATGCATTGACTCACTGCTGATAATTTGGACCTGCAGTCACTGAAGCCTGAGACCTACAAGGTGTTTTAAGGATTTCACAGCTGACTTTCTGTGGCAGGCCATCTTTAAACTTGGACCTGTTTGAAAAGATGCTCTAAGACAGCAGGGTTTTAGAGTCTTTGATGTCCATTTTTCTGGGTGGAAGTGAAACCTGCCAGGCTAGTGGGCTCTGTTCCTCCTTTTGGAATTTTAGTCCAGCCACCCATTGGCCCAAAGAATTATCCAGTAATCATGTTAATTTCAGTGGCAACAGCTTCTAGCTGCTCATCTTTTTTTCCATTTTCTGGTGTGTTTTTCACATACATTATATCGTCTGGTTTCATGTTGGCAGTTCCTTGTAACGTGGTAACTATTATTACTCACTCGATGTTATAGGCAAAGCTGACCGTGGACAACATGCTGGCCCAGCTTCTCATAGGCTGAGTTGGGGAGCTGGGGCTCCAGTTTTGGGGCTCCAAATCCCCAGTTCTTTCCGCCACAGCGGAGCCATACTGTAAACTCTTTGGATGCATTACAAACCTAATGATAGTCATGTTGAAGCTCTGCTACGTTCAAGGTCAGTTGTGACTTGGTCAGAAGCCGTGGCAGAGGCTTTTTATTTTCAGTAGCAGAGAAGGGAGCCAGGAACTGAAGTCCTCGGATGATCTGAAGTATATATTGAGCTGGGAATCCAGATTGCCACCCTGTCCAGGCGTATTACTGCTGCAGTCAAGCCAAATACATGGACTGGGTTTTTTCTGTTTCTTTCCATGTGTACTCTGGTAGAAACACTTGAAGTTACAAAAGCCAGATGACAATGAGGGAAAAAATAAATACAGACAAGACTGCTTATCTCTGATAAACTGGGAGTCGGCTACACGGCAGTGACTTACCCGGAGGCAGGCTCTCCCACATGTGCGCTGCCCCGGGTTCTGAGCGAAAGCGGACGCTAGCCACTGCCCCACTCCTGGCTCCTCCAGGAACGAGGGGGAGTGATGGAACATGCTGTTCAGGGCTCTAATCAAGGCAAGGGAAAATACACGCTGAACTCATTCTACATACTCTTTTAATAAAATAAAAGCCAAGTACCAAAATTAGGAAAATTATTTTACATCTTGTACTTTTAAACGTTTACGTAACTGCTTGTGTCTTCATTCTGATTTAGATGAAATAAAGCATCTTAGGACAGAGTTAGCAAAAATATATCCTATCTTTTGTTCAAGAAAGAAATACACATTGACACCATTGAAACCGCAGCACTCGCTGAGATGCAAGCAGTTGGTAGGGTCTTAAAGACACTGAAGGTTATGACATAAAGAGACGAATTGGATAATGTGTAAAGCTGTGTCTGAGCAAGGAAAAGCTCTCTGGAGTTCTGATGTTCATCTTGATCACTTTCTCTCGGGTTACATGTTTTCCCTTGTGTGATGTGAGCCATCAGAAAACGTTACGAATGTTCTCTGCCTCATTTTGCAGGTGGTTCCCGTATGTGGCAGCCACTGTTTTTGTCAAATGGTGGGATGGGAGATATTCCCCTCCTGCAGACTCCCTCTAATTAAAGGGGTTAAATTGCCATTTGCTCAATCTTTAGTTCCTTTTCAGTTTCCTGAGCTCCTAAAAATACTTTACTCCTTTCAGATTAAACAAAAAAGTTTGATATCTTTACTGCAGTGATCTTGTCTAGAAGATGCAAATCTGAACACACGTATTAAAAAGAGTGTCTGGTAGCTGTGTCCCCTTTATACCTTGTAAGAGGTACTCACAAGCCTCTCTCACCAGTATGCTTATTGGAAACAGGAGGTTTGAATCAAATGCAGCCAGATGGAAGGCCACACCCCATGCTGAATGCGTGAGTAGATAAATTATTAACATTAACATCGCTTTGTTCTGTTCGCCCTGGCTGCTGCACAGGTGAGGATGCTCCAGATTGCCCTGACATGCTGTGTTAGATCAGCCGTGGGGGATGCGCTTCCATCTTACCTGCCTCGCACCTCTAGACCCAGGACTGCGAGCACACCCTTGGGGTGCTGTGGCCAACCCTCTCCTGAGAAGAGAGGAGAAACCACAGCTTTATTTTGTGGTCATTGACTTTCGTACCGAGACAAAAGGTCCATTTGTCCATTAAAAATAGCAGATTCCTTAAAATCAAAACAGTCATGTACACTGGATCATGTGGTAGTTTTTGTACAGGGTTCAAGTGTCAGTTCATTTTCATTTGTAATCAGAGTTTTGCAAGTAAATTCACTGGGGGTAAAAATGTATGTTCTGTGCCTCGTAGGGAGACACATCTCTTGCCTCCAGTCTGTAAAGCAAAAGGCAAGATTTATGTCATCTGAGCAGAGAGTTTCTTTAATAGTACAGTTTTTACTTTGCTCCAGTTTTAAATTATCTTATGGCAAACCCTGAAAGAAGCATTCACTATTGTCTTATTATGTGGGAGAAAGTATGCCTCTCTTGATTGAAAATGAGATAACAGATCACAAAGCTATACTGAAATATTTTCTCAAAGTTTAATATCTTTAGGAATATAGTGCCTCAATATAATATAAAATATTTTATAAATAGAATGAATTCAATTTAGAATTCAAACAGTGGTAATAAAATAGACCAATATCTTAAAACTTTTAAGTAATTTTGAGTCAAGTGGTTGAAAATAAAGCCTTCACCTGCTGTCACAGAAGACTCAGCTTTAACTTTTAATTCTTTACAGCTGGTGGATACAACAAATGCACAGGTGTTAGAACCATGATGCGAGGACGGATGGTACAAACTGATGCTTCTGGAGTTAGAGACTCGTAACACGTTACTGTGGTTGGTTCATTTTTGAATGACTGGCAGTGGTGGGACCAGTCTTGTACCAAAGAATGAATCACCAGTAAGAAGAAAACCTTCCCCAAATAGCCGCCAGCCTAGTGTTGGAATTCCGCCAGAGTCTGGTCCTCAGTCACTATTTATTGAGCACCTGCTACCTCCCAGGCACTGTGCTGGGTGCTGGGGACTGAGTCATAGAGTAATTCCTACCTTTAGTGAAATTTCTGTTTCATCTGTTTCAAATGAAAACTAGAAGCAAGTCGTTAGGTGTAGCAAAGAGCTAACTGACACTTGATTTTGATTTTTAACTTGATTCAAATCAGCGAATTGAGAAGAGAAGCCTGTGCTGTTTAATGACGCTCGTAGAGCAAACAGAAACTGAAGGCTTAAAGGTTGAGGAAAATGAAAGCAGAGTTTGCAGGACCCAGTGCTGGGGACCGAGGAAAATTCTTGACCTTTCCTCCCAGCTTCCTCCTGTAACACAGTGGGGGACACTTTCCCAAGAGTGTGAACGCGTAGTGGTCGCAGGGAGCCTTGCCTGGTTAAGTCCGCCTGCTTATCATATGCAAAGCAGGTGCCACTGCAGGGTCAAGGTTAAGACTTTTGTTGTGCTGGAATGCCGAAGTAGAACAGAGTGAGGATTTTTTTTCTTTTTTTCACCCCAGCAACCTGATCTGTTATGTCCATTCTGTCAGGGAGAAATCTTCTTATCTTCCTTTTTATGACTGCAGAAATATACTTTAATGTGTAAAAATAATATTTAGTGGCTTTAAATGGGTACTTTGTAGATTAGTATAGCAAACATGCAGAATTCATAGGTCTTTTTATTTTTTAAAAGCTGGTGAATTATGGACTATAAAATAGCACACTTTTGATTGTTTTCATAAAAGGACTGGGAGTTTGACCCCAGATAACCGACTAGCACAGCTAGACACTTAAATTTGGCATTGCATGGGTAGTTTTTGCATCTAATTTATTTTTATTTAGGTTGGTGGAAAAGGAAAAGTTAAATGATCTAATAAAGTCTTAAAATACTGACCTACAGATTTGGTTCATCAGAGCTGAGATTCTTAAATCAACAGGGTATAAAATCTAGATATCTTTTCTGTTAAAACAATGGAAACCCTTTCTAAAATGTAGAGATGCACAGAAGAAAATAATGACTGGCACAGTTGGTCAAGTGAATTAATATCAAGTAGTGATCAGGCAGATTTCTGTATGTCAGGCATGGAGACACACCTACCTTTGAACATCTCACCCTAAAATACAGAAAACCAGCAATTTGCTGCTGTTTGTGTTTACTGTATTAAAATAATTTATCTGTTCATGGTAGATCTTTAGAATCCGCAGTGGTTCTCAATCTTATTTCTTCCACATTTTTCCAAAGTCCACCACAGTAATGTCAGCATCACATGCAGTGGTTCTCCATCTAGGGTCGTGCCCTTTATAGGCTGGGTGGTCCTGTTAGAATCTCTGAGGGGAGATGTGTGTTGTTTGAAAAGCGCCCCACCCCCCACCCCACTGTGAGGGAGGCAAGTTTACATCTCAGCTAGAACCACACAGAATGTTCCAGTCCTTAGAAGTAATTACATTCCCTACTCCCCTAAAAAGTATTTTAAAAATCCATTTATAAATTGTGAATTATAAATGAAGGAGCCTATTGGGAAAAGAGAACAATTAGGCAAAGTTAATTTAAACACAACAGTATAATGAGACTAGAAGACTGATTGCTCTCTGGACGCAGTGCATCCAGCACTGGGAATGAGCAGTCTTAGTGCTGGGGTGTGTTTGAAAATGCCTCTAGGAGACAATTTGACTCGTGTGCTGTCGGCGTTTCTCAGGGTAGAGCAAGCTCTAAGCCTTGGGACCCTGGAAGAAGAACAAGTAATGGTTCCGTCCTTTACAGGCGATTAGCCTGCTGCTTTGAGTTCCCAGCCTCCCAGATGACAGTGCGGTGACGGTCCCCTCCCTGTTTTTTCAGTCCCCATCGTGAAGCAGACTTGGGCGGGTCAGGCAGCTCTCATCGAATACTACAGCGATTACGCAGATGGCTCCATTCCGACGGTGGATCTGGGAGTTCCCAATACGGACAGAGGTCAGTCCTGCATTTACTCCTCTTCTCCAAAGCGTCCCTTCTGTAAATGTAGTAAATTAGGATAAAGTGAAGAATTTGTGAATACTGTAATTTTGGGACATGGACCGACTCCTGCAGTTTCAGAGCTGCTTTTAGTACTAACAGAGATTTTGAGTTTTTAATTGGTCATGTTATGATTGATGCACATGACAGTTATGCATATGACAGTTATGATAGAGTTTAATAATATATTTTGGTACCTTCATAATTCATTGTGGCCATAATGGGGTGTTCAAAGTCTATTTATCATCTTCCCCTACAAAGCATCTCCTTATTTAACTGTAGCAGTTTATCCAGCCAGGATTGTTATCCAGCTGCCGTGTGCCAGCCACTGTTAGACACTGAGGCAAAAAGGAACGAAGCTGACAGTTTCTGTCCTCCTGGAGCTTATGGTCTGTGACAGTCTGGGACACATCTTGTTTGTACTTCTCAGGAGCATTTAACCACGTTCTACACTGTATACATGCAGTAAAAGCTCACCTACATGTATGTCCATATATTAATATTTTAATTAGTAAATTGTTGGAAGTACACCCGCTTTTCTCTTCAGATTGCAGGCTTTCTAATTAGAAACGTTCTTTATTTCAAAAAAGAGGAGTAGAAATTTGACTACTTCATCTTTAGATGCTCTTTGTTCATCTTAATTTTTATCCCGTGTTCCTGCCACATTTTTTTCTTTAGTTTTCTGGTTCCCTCAAACGCTTTCATGAATGAAAAAAATAAAAGTATTAAGTTGATTATCTTGTTCTACAGAGTAATTTGTCTTGAGTAGTTTATGGTAGTGTCACCCAGAATGCCTTGACTGATAAAGTACAACATAGAATCAGGTATGTCAGTGCTGTAATTATCCGTAATCCCGACAAGGTTAGTAAATGTATTGCTGAGTCTGTCTGTTGCTGTCTGTTTTAGAAAAAGGATTTAGACTGAATTTTCTTTTGTTCTTTTTTTGTTTCTGTTAATCTTGCTTTTTAGACTTTAAGTTGACTATAATAATCATTTTTTCGTTGATGCATTCCTCATTTGATTTTAGTCTGACCTTATTATTTCTCATATTTATATTCTACTTTATCCAAAGGTAATTTAAGATGGCTTTCAAGGATATATACCATAATGGTTAAAAGTACACACAGGGATCAAGAATACAGAAAATGAAGGTTAAATCGAGTGGTTTGTTCTCTGTTGTGTACCCAAATACTTTGTTGAAATGACGGGCTTATTCTTACTTACCGATTAAAGTTCTCTTCCCAAGCATTTTATTGTTATCCTGGCCCCAGCATTTTCCATTAAAGCATCGCTATCTGTTGGCGTCTAAGGGGCTGTGTCTCTGTCTTAGGTAGCATGTATCTTTAATGCATATCCTAGAACTGGCCGCCATATCTGGCATATTAGAAACTTAATAGCAAATATTTGTAAAATAAATAAGTGAAGGTATAGTACTACATTTTGGCACCATTGTTTCCTTTGAGTTTCTACTGTTTCCTTCAGGATACAGTGAATCTGAGGAGAGATGGCAAGCATCTGTAATTTCTGTGAGGCTTACAACTCTCTTGTTTGTCTGGAGGGAAGATATTAGTCCCACTTGTGCTTGACCTTGTGTAAGTCCCCTCACCTCCTAGATCTTCAGTCCCTTGTGTGTGAAATGAATCACTTTGACTTTGTGATCTCTAAAGTTCCCACTGGTTTACTATGTCTATGGAAATTAGAAAAGGCTAATTTTTCACATTTCAAATTCTTAAGGTGTATGTCAGCTTTAAGCTTTTACTTGTCACATTTTAAAACTT